GCAATATAGGCTTCTGACCATGATTTAGGTATCTTCTTATTTAACATAACTTCATTCATAACTTCTAGCAATGGAAGATTCAGCGATTCTTGCAATGTTTTGTAAAATTCTGCTGGAAGTCCATCTGGGCCTGGTGCCTTTCCATTATTTTGCTTCTTGAGTGCTTCAGTTAACTCCATCATCGTTATATTGCTTTCTAACATTGTTTCAATCTCTTTAGGTATCTGAGGTAAATTAGCATTCTGTAAGTACTGTTTAACTCTTTCCTCATCAATATTCTCTTGCATATATAATTTCCCATAGAAGTCTCGAATGATTTCCTTCTTCTCTTTACTACCATAGCAAGCTTGGCCTTGGTCATCTATTAATTGCAATATTTTCCTTGATTCTTTCTCCTTTCTCAATTTGTATGCTAACCATCTACCTGGTTTGTTTGCGTCTTCAAAGTAGTTCTGTTTAGCACCTTTAATTTTCTGTGCTAATTCTTCTTTTTCTATTTGTCCCATTTTGTGTTTAATTATATCCATTTTTAGCTTGATGTCCCTTTTCTGTGGCATTTTCTGTAGCTCTTTTTCAAGTCTTTTATACTTATCCTCTAAGGCCTTAGAGGCTAATCTTTTCATAGTATTTCTTTTCCTTGTATAGTCTATTATTAAGCCTCTAACATATGCCTTCATTGTATCCCATATATTCTGAATTGATGTATCTTCTTTTTTGTTTTCTCTAAAGAAAAAAGCCAATTCTTTCTCCATCCACTGTGTGAAGTTTTTTTCCTTTAAAATAGTATTATTTAACGTCCATTTAGATCTTCTTTTTTGTCCTTTCCATTTAATATATAAGACAGAGCATTTGTTTCTTGAGATTTGAAGTTGCCATTTGTTTGACCATTCTGATACATAGTCGAGGTCTTTTTGAAGGGTAGCAGTATTTTCTGTGGTGTTGAATAGCTTTACATCATCAGCGAAGAGAACACAGTTGCTCTTAATATGATCACAGAGGTCATTTATGTAGAGTATGAAGAGAGTAGGTCCTAGAACACTGCCTTGGGGGACACCACTGTTGACAGGTACAGAATTTGATAGGACTCTCCCAATTTTGACCATTTGTTGTCTGACATGAATGCTTCTATCCAGTTATGTAGGTGTCCAGAGATACCATAAGATTTTAGTTTTAGTAGTAGTTCGTCGTGTACCACTGAATCAAAGGCTTTACAGAAGTCTATGTAGATTGCGTCTATTGCTTTGCCCTGATCAAGTTGTGTAGTCCATTTGCTTTTGCAGTGTAAGAGTTGCAGATTACAGGATAGTTTTTTTCTGTAACCAAATTGTTTATTAGAGAGTAGGTTGTTTGTCTCTAAGTGGAGGATAATGGATTGGTTAATAATTGATTCCATGACTTTACAGGTGACGCAGCATAAAGTCTGTAATTTTCAACTAGGCTGGAGTCTCCCTTTTTGAAGATGGGAATGACTGTGGCTTGTGACCATAGATTTGGCAAGGAGCTGGTCCTGAAAGATTTTTCAAAGATTATGCTTAGAGGTTTGGCTATGACAGTGGATAGCTTTTTTAAGAAGTAGGCACATATTCCGTCTGGTCCAATAGATAGGGATGGTTTTAGATTGCGTAGTACTTTTTCAACATTGTCTTCTGTAAAATCGATATGTATTAGATCATTGTAGTTGTCTGTGGATCGACTAGGAAATACTGGGCATGATCCATTGCTGTTTACAAATACTGAGCCAAAGAATGTGTTAAAGAGGTTGGCTTTAATGGTGTTGTCATTGCAGTCTTTACCATTAGGCCCTTTCAGGGGTGGGATGGACCTTGAGTCTTTTCATTTGTTGTTTACAAAATTGTAGAAAGCATGGGTGGAATTGGTTTAATGTGATAATTGATGTATTCGGTCTTTATCTGGTGGCATAAATTTTTGTATCAGCTTTTGAAGTTGGCAACGTGACCAGATTTGTTTTTCTGCCAAAGTGATCTCTTTTTGGATTGAAGCTTCCTTATTGTTATGGGTAATCTGTTTTTTTCTGGTTTTGGGAGTTGTTATTGGTACATATAGTTTGATGACTCTTTTGACTTCAAGTAAAAATATGTTGTAATGGTCTTCAACAGTATTGCATCCAGTGAATAGAAATTGCTGATCAAGGGATGAGAGATCATTATCTATAAGATCATAGTTGCCTTTTTTGAAGTTATAATTGGGGATTATGTTGTTGTGATTATTTTTGTGTGGACATATGTTGAGACAAAAGTCAATCGTGTTGTGATCACTGTTGGAAAAGGGTTCTTTAATTTGTATTCTGTAAATTGAACTCAAACTATTGCAGAAGATGAGATTGAGGCAGTTATTAAGTCTAGTATTGTTGGTTACTAGTTGTTCCAGTCCCAGATTTGTTACAGTATTGTAGAAGGTTGCATGTATGGGTTCAGTTTTACATTCGTTTAGGGTCCAGTTAATATGAGGTAGATTGAAGTCACCAAGAAAGATAAAAGCGTGTGGGCAGGATGTTGCCCATGTTAGTAGTGAATTTAGCTTGTTTACATGTTCGATGTCATAATTGGGTGCTCTGTAACATAGTAACATAGTAAGATAGTAATATAGTAAGAAAGAGGTAGCAGAAATAAGAGGGTTATTTGGGGCTTTTCTTTCTTTTTTTTGCTTTGTGTTGAATGAAAGAATGGGAAAGGATTACATTTTTGACTGGAAACGCCGATACTGACTACACATTTATGATGATTAGGTGCATGCTACAATACAAATTCACATGTAGAACAGTGTTTTTCAAGCTTGACAACTTTGAGGTGTGTGGACTTCAATTCCCAGGATTCTGCTGCCGGCATTGGTGGCTTAGGGATTTGGGGAGTTGAAGTCCATACACTTTTAAATGTTCCAAGGTGGGAATCGGCGACCTAAAATATTGCACTACCAATTTACGTTGAACAAAATTACTTAAATTACTTTAAATTACTTTTCGGCGATTACATGGACACGTCCGATTTTGTTTTGTGTCAATGCAAAGGATTTGCTGCTGCCGTTTCCAGAATGGTTGTAATCTATTTCGCCATCCAGACTAGTTTTACAATTTCTTGATGCTCTCCCATCCAAGAACTATCCCGTTCCAACCTTGCTTGCTTTTTTGAGCTCAGCCAAAATTGGGTGACAATACGGTAATTGTAGATTTAGGAGAGTTAGTGTCAGCCATTATGCATTTTCATATAATATTTCCAAGGCATCCTTTGTTTCAAGAGGTATTTTGCTTTTATTCATAACAAATGTGATTAATACTAATAAAAGGTGTGCTTTGAATATATGCAACATGTTTCTTATTGTATAACCACATCAACTCTTTATAGAGTGTAATTGTTTGTCTTGATTTATGTTTAGATGTTATACACATAGGAATATAACATCTATGTAATATATTTTAGTTATCACCGCAATTGCCTGATTATGGAAAAAATTTAAATTAGAATGCAGGACTTATTCTGTATTAATAAATCTTGGGAGGTATTATACCTCAACATAATTTACTGGGGAGAAATACTTATTTATGTTTCTTATCTATACAATCATTGTTAAAATAATAAAGGCTAAGATAATGGAGTCATTTTCAAGTAGGAAGACATAGAGAGTTGTGAGTTTAATTAGGCAATTTAATTTTGAGATTTGACTGCTAGCCTCAAGCTAATGATGGAATTTTAGTTTTCATCCAGTAGAGGGCACTGTCTGAAATCTTTTAGTGTCTTTTAAAAATGGGTTTTGGTTGGTGAGAAAACATACATAGTAAAATGTGAAATATATTCACAGCACTGGAGTAGCTTTCCCCCCTAAACCAGGGGTCTTCAAACTTGACAGCTTTAAGACTTGTAGACTTCAACTCCCAGAATTCCTCCTCATCATGTTAGCTCAGGAATTCTGGGAGTTAAAGTCCACAAGTCTTAAACTTGCCAAGTTTGAAGACCCTTGCCCTACACCATTTCATGTACTGTGCTTGAATTTTAGTGTTTTACTATATAAAATTACTTTTCCTGGTTTTTAAAGCATTTCTTTCAAGAACAGGACAGCAGAAATGGGATCATTTATGTTTTAATTAGGGAAGGACATACACATACACGCTTAAGGAGTGAAAGAAAGGAAAAGGCTAAAAAACTTCCAAATCAAATCAACTCAGCATTCTCACTGGAAGCACAAATGACCAGGCTCACATTATCCTACTTAGAACAAATTATGTAAAGACATAAGACAAGGATCTAATGTTGGGAAAGATGGAAGAGAGAGGACAACCAAGCAGCAAGGCAAATGGACTTGATCATTGTGGCAATGTATGCACCATTGGAAAACTTGCAAGAACAGGTTAGAGACAGATCATTATAGAGAAAAAAATCTGGCTGCTAAGAATAGGCACTGACTTGATGACACACATAATGATTTTCAAAGCTGACTGTTAAGATAGATAGTCCATAGGTAAAATCTGCTTAGGGCACTGTTCATCTCGAAAATATAAGATAAGATGAAAGGGCTAAAGTATGGTTTACTAATCTATGGTTCATCTTGAAATGCAATTATTTATTTCCGCTATTTTTCTAATTAAAGATGTCTTTTACCAATTTCTTTGTAGGATGTCACAATGTGTGCAATTTGATTCTATTTTTTTAATGAGAAAATGCGAGTAAAAGCTCCGGAAGGGCAAATTGTTAGTCAGGAGAAACGAGCGCATTCAGAAGTATTTTCTTTTTCTGCTGCGGTCAATGAGGTTAACTCTCATATGAGTGTCTGTAGGAACGCGACCTTTGGGCGACTTGTATAAAAAAAAGAAAACTCGCTAATCCAGAGAAACCGCCGGAACGCTTGAGCAAACACGCACCGGGCTGCACAAGCGGGAATCCTGTTTGCGAGGCGCTTCCTACCCTCCCAGGACTAATCCAGTCGCAGCCCCGACTACCCACATCCACGGGAGTTTATCCTTGGGTTGCTATCTTTTTTCCCATCATGCAACGCTCTCTCACGCGACAGCCTCCATCCCGAGGGATTGCCATCCTCCGCGCTCGGGCCTGGCCGCTGGATGCGTTTTGCTGGGAGGTCAATGGTCGCAAAGTCCGCCAATCACGCGCCTGCCCCACCTCTTGGTTTTTGTTTTTTTCCCCTCCTTCCCCTCTGATAAAGAGCCCCACTTAACCTTCGGCGCCGCCGTTGGCTCTCTGTTTTCCGACGGAGCGAAGGTGGAAAGATCGGATCGGGCGGGAGCAGCCCCATTTTCGCCATCACCTCGTATCTTCTCCCAGTGTAGGTAAGAGCCCACTTACGGAAGGTTAAATGTCGCTTGGCGGAAAGAGCACGTGGAATTGATAGGAGGTGGGCATTAGCTTGAAGAAAGACCCCACTCGGGTGCCTTGCAACGAAATTTCATTTTAAGTGAATGCCGATTGGTGTACATTCCAAGTGATAATAAAAGCTATTCTATTCTTGCTGCCGGGGATGGGACGGAATTGGGATTACATTTCGCGATCTTCATCCCTCCCCTCCCTTGAAGGGGCGAAAGACTCGATTAAGGTCCCAAGAATAGCTGAGCTGGATCACTAGCTGGAAAGGATCCAGCACTTCGCCCTGCCGAGGGTCGCCAGAACGACGACAGCCATTTCCCAGTATTGGTTTCGCAGCCTCTAGTTGTGGCTGGGAATGCCCGGCTCCTGCTGCGTCAGGTGTGGAGAATCGATGGCCTGATGGCTTTCGGGCTTCGATGGTTTCATAGATAGAAGTGACCCCCAAATTTGCAGCTGGGCTATGATAGTCTCACTAGCCCCTTTTGCGATGGCTTCCTCCCTCCCAAACTCTCACTATTGACCTCACCCCATTCCTAAGGGGTCTGTAAGGGGTGTGCATAAGTGCACCATCGTGCCTCCCGTCCTTGTCCTATTGTCCTCATTTATTTGTACCTATTTCCTATATTCTTACTCATGTTTATACTTATACCTATTATCTTGTATGCGATTGACAAATAAAATAAAAATACCTGGCTTTCTCTGTGTTGGGAGTGGAGGAAGCACTGTTGAAGCGGATGCTCTTATCTTTTCAGCATTTTAATTTACACAAGACTTAAAATGTTAACTGGCTAAAACGTGTAGCGATACTGAATTGTGTAGTCAGAACTCTTGTGTAGTTGGACCCCCAGTGGTTAAAGATTCAGGAAGCAGATGAGTGCATTTCTTTTAGAACAGTGATTCTTAAATTGGAATGTGAAACTTAAAACAGGTCAAGATAGTGGATGTGTTTGGCTTCATGTAAGTTGCCAGGAATCGGGCCAGAATCTATGATGCTTACCTAAGTTATATTATTAGTAGATTAGTATCTTGCCTACACATGTCTCAGAATCCTTTGGTGAAATTGAATGACCAAAATACAATTATCAGAAAAAAGAATACAACAGAAGTTAAGCATTCCTTTTTTTGGCTATTTGTTTAAAGTGCATTGAAGGGAAAAATGTTACAAACATTTAAAAACTATCTCTGTGGGAGTCAACATGGCTGAAATTCAAGACTTCTCACCAAATAAAAATTAATATTTCTTTATGAACAGTAAGTTTTACAAACCACTTTTCTAAAAGCACTTAAGGGCAGCCTTAAATTTTAAGAGCCCTGAGTAGTTGTGTTCACAGAAACCATAACCTAGCATGCTGCAGATTATTGACACAGTGAACCACTTCTAAACTATTTTACTGATTAGTGTTTTGTGGAAACCCAGATGTTGGATTAATGAGTTACTTATTTTGTACAGTCTAACTACTATAATATTTTAGTGCTCCAGTTTCAAAGGGTTCCCTTGACAGTTATATGACTAGTGAAAACTCATGCATGATTTCAAATGATATGTAGGAGGAAAGTTATATGTATTTGGTGGTTTCCCATACCAATAGTTAATAAAGGAGGAAATGGGGGGAAATGTCTCTAGAGTGTTCGTTTAGCGGTATATACTAATAGCAAATTAATTTATTGTTTACTTTTACAGTCAGATGCTTCATAACAACATGGAAAGTGTCCCTTCCCTATCAGCAACAGGCATTAAATAAACTGGTTGTGTGTATGTTCATATTGAGGGTATGGAAAGTGTCCCAATGGCAGTAGGAACATTTGGGGCTGAGCCTTCTAAGCTGGGAGGGTGGCTGCAACAGATCCCAGGAACAAAATCAGAGCTCTCTGTCCAGAAGAGGGTAATGCTAGGAATAGCTAAGATATGGCACAGAACCGTCAGATTCTACTAGGCCTCTGATGGAGCAGGGGTCACCAACTTTTTGGACCTCGTGGATGACCAAACTCATAATTTTAAATCCTGTGGACCAGAGACCCTGTGAAAATCCCAAAAAAAAGTCTGCAGGAAAATTCCCCATCTCGTTTTCCTATCGATCGATCATTCTTTATTTGGGATCGCAGGATACCGTTTCCAGCTCCATTTTCGGTGGGGGGTGGGAGAGAGAGAGACTTTTGGCTTCATCCAAGGAAAGCAGCAGCCAAAGACTCATTTCTGGCAGAGTTTGGGGGAGAGAAAGAAAGACTTTTGCTGCTTTCCTTGCATGCAGCCAAAAGCAGAAGAAGAAAGAAGTAGCCCGGTGGCCAGGTGAGGCACATGGGATGAGTGAGGCAAGTTCCCCCCCTCCGTCCTTTTCCCCTTCCCCTCACTATTTCATGTTATTCACAATGCAAGTGACGCAAGCCTTGTGTTCCCGCGGGCCATTTGGCGCAGCCTTGTGTTCCCATGCAGCCTAGATTAATTGCTTTGGGGAATGCTTTGGAGGGGACATTTCTCTGCGGACTACCAAAAATTTCTCATGGACTACTAGTGGGCCCTGGCCCACTGGTTGGCAACCACTGTGATGGAGGACCCAAAATTAATGTTTATGGAGTTTCTCAGTCATCCAGGTCATGGTGGTCATAGTTGTCCCAAGAGGCAATTGGATTTTCTTTGAAGATGTTTCACTTCTCATCATCCTTCGAAAAGTAAATAGGGATGGAACTGACTTCACTTTGGGGGAGGGGGGAGTTCCATAAGAGGGGCACCACTGTAGAGAAGATGTACCTCCTCAAACTCACCAAACATTATTCTCTAACAAGTAGGACCTGCAGCATGCACTTTCTGCCAGATCTGATAGGATGGGCAGATGTAATTGAGATGAGGTGGTCCCTCAGATAACTTTGTCCCATGCTAAGAATTTTAAAGATTGAAACCAGCACCTTGAATTGGACCTGGAAGCAGACTGATAACCAATTCAGCATGATAAGCAAAGTAGAAATACACATAACTGTCTGCACTGCTGCCTTTTGCACCAAGTGAAGGTTCTGGATGCTTCAAGGTTCTTCAAGGGCAACCCCATGTAGAAGATATTACTGCAATCCAATTGGGAGGTGACAAATGCCTAATTGATCATATGTATGTAATGTAAAATTGGGGCATTAAAATTGCCATAAGTTTAATGATTCATGAGACTGAACTATCTTTCGGGTTACTGTTTTTATATTGCCTTTTATATTTTTGTAAGCCACCAGGAGTCACTGGGAGTGAGTTGGGAGGTCATAAATTTTCTTTAATAAATTGATGTTTTGCATTTGAAGTATTCAGTGGCTGGGTATTCTGTTCTAATCAAGTCTAGATAATGTTACTGTTATCACTAGTTAATGAAAGAAAATGTAACTTTTTGAAGTAGAAGTAGATAAATCTCCATTGTAACATGATTTCATTGGTGTCTGGCTGGCTTGGATAAATTTTGTTTTTCTAAGGTTTTTCTGATTATTGAAAGGTGGTTTCTTTCCCTATTTGCTTCAAATCAGGAGATCTATAGAACCCTGGTAAAACATGTAGTTTGGACCCTGACATTTTGGGGCAATGGGTCACAAGTTAATGAAGTGCTGCTGGAGTGTGGATAGTAGAATCAGGACAAGAACATATAACTTGAAACATTAAAAAAACAACATCCTGAAAGCTACATGTAGGTTATAAGATACTTGGTAAAGCTGGCTCCACTTGTAATCAATTCAGCCATGGGTGCAGTAGTGGTGTAAGAAAATGAGTTTATGAGTTAAGAATTTCAACATACTGAAGAGATAATCTTTTAAGTACAGCATAAAGTCAGGGTATGAGGAGCACTAGTGGTCTGGAAGAAGGCTGAAGAGTGGTAGATAAGCTTTCCCAAGTGTTCTCTGATGCTTATCTTTCCCTGCCAAGCATGACAACAGGACCGGAAGGGAATTGGGTGTGTTTGGGGTCCACCTTTAATATGAGACAGGTGTATGTGTGACTTAACTGGCTTAGCCAGAATCCTAAGTGGGTTGAATGCATGTACCTAGAACTCTGATCTCTCAAAGATTGTTGGTGGACAAATCAACACAATGATATTAAAATCAAGTCCTTTCCTTCTCTTAGAAATGTTAATAGGTCATTGCTAGCCAGCTTGGATTGTTTTTATCTAAAAATGATGAGGCTATTTAATCAAATAGCTCCTTAATCCATAGTTTTAATATTGCATTTATCAGGAAGTCTCACAAAAACCTGCAGATTTATTTTTTTAAAAAACAGTGTAATTAAGTTTAAAGTACAGCACACTGGGTATAATTATGTACTCAAGAGAGTTCAACTGCATATACTGGAATGTTTGCATATTCTGAAAAGTTCCTGTGATTTCCCAACTTCTCTACGTAAGGAGAATCAACACCATAATGTCTTGTGATTCTGTGTTGAAAGAAGCCAACTTCCTGATGTACTCATTTTAAGTCAACGTCAATAAGCTAAGCCAAAAAAAAAAAAAAATCAATGCCAGAACTGCTTCCCATAAAGCGAGACATTTAAAAGCAAATTGCTGCAAAATTGATTGGACTGAATTATCACAACAAGCTTTGGAGAAGAAAACATGCCCCTTTTTATATAGTGACTTTCATAGTAACAGAATCTTGATATGTAGCAGTATCTGCACATCAGCTTTTTTTGTTTTTGTTTTGTTTAGAACAGGGGTGTCAAATTCACATAGTCACAGTGTCATGTAACGTTGGGACTTTTTTCCCCTTTCACTAAACCAGGCATGGGCAAGGCTGGCAGGTGATGCATCCAGCCCACAGATTTGACAGCCCTGATCTAGAGCCTCTACAATGTATTCTACTGAAATTGTGCCATATCCCCAAATAATAGTGGCATATAATTCTACTTAAACAGGCACAATTACCTTATATTAAGCCTCCGTTAAACTAAGTGTGCCTAATTTACTAAAAAAGAAAAAGAAAGATCCTAATAATTGGGGTTTTTTAGTTTTGTTTCCTTGGGTGATGTCAGCACGGTGCTTTCTATAGCCAAAATTGTTGAAGCAAAAATATTTCCCGCTCTCCCCGTCCTGATGGTTCATGTTATAGGGGGTATCTGCTTTTTCTCACTTTAATTAGTGAAAGCTAGAGAAGCACTAGGGCAATCTATATATATTTTATACTAGCTGGATCATTGGGTGATTTGTGCAAGTGATAAACAATTTTTAATGACTTGCAGTGCCCTTTTGCCTTTTCATTGTTTTGTATAAACTAAAAGAAAGAAGAAAACGTGAAAGAGTCTACAGTTAGACTATGGTGAACAGTGCATTTATGTAAGAATAAATAGATCAAATTTAGAAAGTTTTTGCTGTAGCTAAATTGGGGACAAATTAAGTTGTCAGTGTGGTATAGTATGGTATAGAACAGGGGTCGCCAACCTTTTGGACCTCAGGGACCACCAAACTCATAATTTTAGATCCCAGGGACCACTAACCGGTTCTGTGGGCATGGCCTAATTTATGGGTGTGGCTTGATGGTCATGTGACTGGCTAGGCATGGCTTGTATGTAAATATAAATATTTACATATAAATATTTGTTACATATAAATATTAAATTTTCTTAAGTTTTCGCAGGTACTTACATGTTCGGGTATTTTCCCACATCATTATAGTTTAAAAGCACAACTATAATGACGTGGGAAAATACCCGAACAAAGCTGAATACCATACATATAAATTTTTATATAAATATTTAATTTTTTTATTAAAAAAGAGCAACTTTTACCCAAAATCAGGCAAAGCAGGCAGATTGAGTTGTTCACAGAATCACAGATTCATTCAGTGATCGATCTATCTGCCATCGGCTAGCTCAGTCTGTCACATAAAATTTGCTTGCAAGCAAACTCATAAAATTAACTCACAAGACACCATGCATGCAAATATTGAATTTTTTATTTTAAAAAAAGAGCAACTTTTACCCAAAATCAGGCAAAGCAGGCAGGCAGATTGAGTCGCTCATAGAATAACAGATTCATTCAAAGATCTATCTATCTGCCATTGGCTAGCAAGCAAACTCACAAAATTAACTCACAACACACCATGCATGTAAATACTGAATTAATATTAAATTATTTTTAAAAAGAGCAACTTTTACCCAAAGCAGGCAGATTGAGTTGCTCACAGAATCATTCAGTGATCAATCTATCTGCCATTGGCTAGCTCAGTCTCTCAAATTTGCTTGCCATGAGTCTGCACTGAATTTGCTTGCAAGCAAACCTTCAGTCCTAAGGGAGGTTCGGCTGTGCTTAGCTAGAAAGCAAGAAATCCAACCATTTCCTGCTTCCTAGCTAATCTAAATCTCCTGGCACAGCAGAACAAATGATGGTTGGAAAAAGGAAAAATAGCAATTTAGCAGGCAAGTTTACCAGGGTAAGGAGTGAGTGGGCGGAGAGAGTTCCTGGGGGCCATGTGGGCGGCACAGCCTTGTGTTCCCACACAGCCTGGATAAATTGCTTTGGGGGGGTGCTCTGCGGGTGAGATTTCTCTGCAGCCCACCAAAATTTCCTCATGGCCCACCAGTGGGCCGCGGCCCACCGGTTGGCAACTGCTGGTATAGAACAACGGTCATCAACTGGTGGGCTATAGAGCACTGGTGGGCCATGAAAAGATTTTGGTGGGCCGCAGCGAAATGTCCCCCCAAAGCAATTAATCCAGGCTGCGCGGGAACACAAGGCTGCACCGGCCACATAGCCTGCCTACCTGCTGGCCCCTACCATTCAGCTGAGTACAAACCTTACCTTGAGTAGAGTCACATGAGCTGGAACTGGAAGGTAAGACCAATGGTGGGGGCGGGCAGCTGCTCTTCCACCCGGGTGCACTGGCCTGCCATGGACTGGAGGAGTTGCTCCGGGATGACCAAAGGGCCAGTCCTGTGACTATTGTGGCTCTGGAATATGGGACCAAGCTTCCCACCAACGTCAGCAAGCCACAGTCAGTCAAAATTCCTATTACTGGTCCACGGGATTTAAAATTATGAGTTTGGTGGTCCCTGAGGTCCAAAAGGTTGGCGACCCCTGGTATAGAATACTATACCAATATAGTAATGGTGGCTAAAGCACCAGCCATGGATCTAACTCCAAGCAGTCAAGTATAAATGCAATACAATAACAAATCAATCTATCAGCTAATTTTAGGTGCATATGCCTAGTTTAACTAAATTCAAAAGAAGTCATATTCTTCTATCCCTTACTGCACACATACTGTAAGTATGTGAATAATACTTAGATTGACTTTGTAAAATTCCTTTTTACAGGCATTTTGCTAAGACTTTGTTTCATATCTTGTTTGTTATCTTGTCTCCCACTTCTGGTAGGTCTTGAGTAAAGAAAGAAGAGATGGCCTTGAAGGTAGCTGTATTTCTGAGCTGTGTGCTGGGAATTAGTACCCTAACCCTGGAGGAACCTGAGGATGGAGGCAAGCATTGGGTTGTCATTGTGGCTGGTTCCAATGGCTGGTATAACTATAGGCACCAGGTGAGAAGGCTTTGAGTTCCAGTTGAACAATGAATAAATAAACAGAGGACTTCATGCTAAATTGAATGAAATTTTTCAGAACTCTCTCTACCTAGCTAAAAATGTCAGTAGACTGCACTGAGAATGAATGTCTTGTTTGTTGAAGTTTAGCCTACTCAATGCGGGATTTTTATTATTAATACTATATCCAGATGTATAATAATAATGAAGTAACCCAAGATTTTTAAGCCTGAGCTGCCCATCAAAGTAACTGAGCCACTACTGTAACCAATCTTCTAGAAACTCTGCATGAGGTGTAATATGGTAGAGGACATTGTTCTTGTTAATTGTCTTAACTGTCCTCTTGAGTAGGAAAGCAAGATGAATAAGTAGAATCAAAACATTACTTCCAATCTGCTTTTAGCACAGGTATGATTTAGATTTATTTAGACTTCCTGACCCATCCAGAAGTCACCAACTTGGCACCAAATCTTAACATTTTTAGCAAAGTTTGAGACACTTAAGAAGTTTGGCGTTTGTTCTTTCTTTGCTGCAGTGCAGAGACAGAACAGACTATACTTTCTCCTCATCTAGCGGCTGTCAGGGTTCCGATGGATGACCTAATTAATTCATGAGGCTCGAGCCAAGTTTCAAAACATTCTGTATTCTGTTCCAATGACTTGGTCGCTAAGTGAATACATCAATGAGAGAGATATGTTGTGAAGATCACTGGTTGCTACCATCTCATTCAGATAAATTTCTCTGGTACAACGTACAACCTGTTTTTCCTTCCTTTTTTGCCCCCTTAGCGATTGGAGAGATTGCTTAAACAAACTCTCTCCCTGAGCTGCTCCCCCCCCCCCCCCCCCCGAGCTTCCCTAAAACGTGCTAATGCAAGTTTACAGGCTCAGGTCTATGACCTTAATTAGTTGATTAGAACCTTGCAGCCTGAAACTGACCAGACTTTAATCAGTTTCACACTGTCAGAAAATTTTGTAGTGAATGCTACATAGGTCTCAAATAATTTTTTAGTTACAGTTGATAATGTTTGTGTTTGTGAATGGTCACTAAGTAAGATAGTCATGAAGCAAGAAGTACTGTAAATAGGGCATTCTGGTAAGTTTTGCAGTTCCAGTTCAGTTTTGTAAACATTAAGTACAAAGCAGGTCAAAGAGAAACAGACAGAAAAATATGTACGGAGGAGGAATCTTGAGGTAAGAAAAATTTCGTATAGACAAGAGAAGAGAAGTTGCAACAATGAAGTGAAGTTGCAACAGAAGATATAAAACAGCAGCTCTCAGATTTTGCAGAAGGATGTTTACTTTAAAAAAACGCTAAATAAAAGCTGCAGTGATTTTTATTGTGAAATCTTCCTCTCTTTTGCATCAAACTTGTTTGTCCTTATTGCAACTAGAAACTTGTTGATGGAAGATGGAAACTGTACCAAACTGCAATTGGCTAGAATAACTAGACATTGCAGAAATGTGCAGTCCTCTTAAAGAAGAGTCAAGTCTGAAATTTTCACTGAAGGAAACAAAATGACCATGGTAGAAACAACTCAATTCTATCTCTTTTCATGGCCTAAAAATCAATGTTTCTCAACCTGGACAACTTTAAATTATTTGGACTTCAATTCCCCGATTTCCCCACCTGGCATGAGAATTCTGGGAAAATTCTGAGAATTGAAGTTCACACATATTAAACTTGCCAAGGTTGAGAAATTATACCTAAAAATTGCTCTGTCTTCAGGTGTTTTTTATTCTCTGTTTACTTTTTATTATTCATCTCCATCTGATCTGTGACATTTCAGTATGTGACTTGGCTAAAACGTTTCTATAATTTTTATTCCACTATGTTTGCAATAGAGAAGAAAATGGAAAGCCTAGCCTAACATTAACCTGTGCATTTTGTGTGACAAAGTTGTCCTACTGTTGGAACATATATACATATACATTTTCAGAATTGTTGGCTTAAGAAATGCTGTTCATTCTGTGTTTCCAAGAAAAAAATATTAAGGAAAATACTAATATCCACTATAATGCAGTGTGGGGTGGTTTTGTTTGCAATAAATCTTTTATATTATTGACTTTTTAAGCACTTTTGAAAGATTCATTACAGTGTCCTGTGAAAGTTAAATGTTGATTAATATCTGTTTCTATCTGAACGAGGAAGTTAGAGGACTTCAGATATTGTGAATAGCATCCAACAATAAGAACTTGGATAATTGTTCCTTTGGCTTAGCTATAGGTTTAATTTCTGGTTTAAAGGAGTTTTTCCAGTATTTTTCAAACCATGTAGAAACATTTACAAGGTAAATAATAAATTGTCACCACTTTTTCCTGCTCTTCATTTGGAATAAGTTAGGCTTACTATAATGGAGTGGCTAAAATGAAAAAGTATGTATTGTTGTGAGCATATAGGATGACTCATGATTTTGCAGGTGTTGGCTTCTCTTTCCCAAGCAGTGACCCATGCAGCAAACCACAGAAATTCAGTAAAGCGTGAATGCTGTAAAAATGGTCTTCTGTTGCAACTGGAAAGTTCAGAAGTACACCTGCAATTTACCACATCATCAAACCTTTATTTTGGTCATAAGGGTGAATTATAGTCAATTAAAAAGCATAGAAAATATCTCAGAGTCTAAAGAATAGTAATTATAAAAAGCTAAAGAATATAAAACAGAAGTGTATATATAAAGCAAAAGTCTAAAAAGAATCTAAAAGAGGTAGAAGCATTAGATGGATGTAGGGGGCATATAAGTAAGTGATAGACTAAATCATCACAGTACAGAGCACTCTAGGAGGACGAAGTAGTGCTCACTGGAACTAGTTTATAGCACAGATCATCTGTTGAGTTTTAAGCACTGATGCATACAACATGACAACGTATGTTGTATCAGGGTCGGTATCTGTAAACAACAGGGAGATGTAGACTTCTCCTATGCACCCTGGGTAATGGTGTACCCAGGTGTAACCATTGTGCTGTACTGGTAAGATGAGGCTAGTGCAAATGTCTCTGTAATATAGGCACTGGAGAAATATGGGTTCTGTTATTTCTGTGTGTTCAGAGTCACAAGGACATTGTCTCTGTTGGTAGAGAATTTTCCTCTAACAGTCTTCAAGGACAGCTGAAGAGAGGACATGACATCCCGCCAGAATAAACCTCTGTTGGTTAGATACTTCAAGTTTAGTTACGTATACAATAGGGAAGACAGAATTTCTGTTGGATTCACTGGCGATAAGGTGGGGACCTGGTAATACGTTTTTGCTACACACCTTGGCTTGACCATATCCCATGCTGACCGGAAAATGTAGAGAGGAGCCCAAGGATGACATCTTAGTTGCCATTGTCTTTTCTCATGTGGATTGAAAATCATCCCTCGTAGTTAGTCAACAAGGCCAAGCAGGGGGGAAATTATAGTCGAACCAATAATTGACTATGGTCACCCACACAGTAATCTTCACTGTAGTGTCCCTAGTCTCAGGGTACCATTAGAGACTCATTTTGGGACTTGAAGGGCCTATCTTAGAAATTTGGATTTAATACGTTCTGCTGGTGCAAAATCAGAGAAGGGGTCCAGCTGAACACCATAAAGAAGTTTTGCTATTGGCTTTTGAAGGTATATAGTAATCACCTCTTATTTTGAGGAATTTTAAGGATAGCGGATGAGCTGCTCTGTGCATTGTAAGCAATGCAGTCCTGGGTTTTTCTACTGTTGGCAGAAAGAAGACTAGATATTTGAAAAAAGAGACATAATCAATCTTCTGGCCATCTATTGTCCAGGAGTGGCTTGTGAGCCTTTTGGCAAATGCCATCATTTTGGTTTTCTGATAATTGAGTACTAGCTGGACTTCTTTGCAATACTGTGTTAGAACCTGCAGCTTAAACTGTAATATACAGGAATACAGACCATGCTACTGGAATTATGCATCTTATATTCACTTCTGAGTTTAACATTAATTCAACTCAGAGAATCTATGGTAGAGGCTATATTCACTTCTGAAATTCTGGAATTGGTGTTCTGACCACCAACAAAGTAACTGTTGGGATAAGTGACCTCTTCCAAAATGATGTGAGTACCGTTTTCCTCCCTATTTTGTTTTGGTCTCTGTGCACTTGCTGATGTCACTCACCTGTTTCATACCTGTTTCCTTAGTTATTTCTTTTAGATGGCACTATCTTTCTCTCTCCCCAGTGTGTCACCCAGCCTGCTATTTTCTTCATTCTCCCATTGCCTTTTACACAGACCTTTTCATCCCCAGCATTGTGCTCAATATTTTTCCACTATGGACTCTTGCATTTCCTATCTATGTTCCATCCGCACCATGCAAAGTGATCCTTCCTTCCTTCTTCCCTCTCTTCTTCTCATAGATGGACTTGCCATGAGTCGTCCATCATGTTTTCATTGGAACCTGCCCAGATCCACGTTCATTCCATCTTCTCTATTCCTACTCTGCTTTCTAAGGATTCACTTTTAGGTGATGCTGCTGCTACTTCTTTGGATGTATTTTGTCAGGTGAAGACATTCTAGTCCCCTTGGCATTTCTCTGACAATATGTTTCTTCTCTGAATTTTGGAGTTTCTCTAAACCCACCTCTCATTTTGCAATAACTCAATTTTGGGTACTGTACAGTGAACAATAATTAAGTTGACAATTTTAAAAATAGGGATATACATGGAAAATGGAATAGTTTCACAAAAACAAGAGCCACAAAACTAAGCCGTAACACATAAAGAACACCGCAGATATGAACCTATTAGTATCATATAATTGTTTTCAGATTTGGCTTGGTGTTCAGTATGTGTGGCTCAGGGCCCCGTTGAACTATTCTTCTCTGAATGTTTTTTTCTGGGAAGAGGCTCTCTGTGATTCTCAATGAACAATTGTGTTCCAACACTATATTGTGAGAAACAAGATATTAACTTAAGCAGAATCCATATAATGTCATACTGTCTTGTCTCTGTTGAAAAACAGTTGGTAAAGAAAGCTATCTTATATTTTTCAGGCTGATGCATGTCATGCTTACCAAATTGTGCACCGGAATGGTATACCAGATGAACAAATTGTTGTTATGATGTATGATGACATTGCTTATAATGATGAGTAAGTAATAAACATTTAGCCATAACAATACTACAGATAAAGTTACAAGAGTTTTTTTCTCATAAAGTCTCAATTTCACAACTTCACCTTTGCTTACTGTTTGATGAATTTCATGTAATGCTTTCAGGCGCATCCACAACCAAATCATTTGGGCTTATCCAACTGCCTTAACACCCTATTTTTTTCCTCAGGAAACAAAAACACAGATTGCATTCCACTGGAATGATCAATACAGAGACTTCTCAACTTATGACCAATTGTTTAATGACCGTTTGTGGTCATGACAGCCTCACTAAGGATACTTTACAACCTAAAGCACTTTCAGCCATCATAAAGTCTTGCACAGGGTCCCCTAATCCCATAAGTGTATTTCGAGTGCTTGACAACCTGTTCTCATTTACGACTAGTGTCCTGCAATCATGTGATTGCCATTTGCAATCTTCTCTGCCAGCTTCCCCAAAATGTCAGCAGGGAAGCCATCAGGGAATGTTGCAGGTGGAAGAGATGTTGGATTTGAGATCTATTTCCCCAGTGCACCGAGGAATTTGCCCTTCCCTCTTCAGAGAAGGGAAATTGTCCACCGTGCTGGAGGAATGGGCCTTAAATCTGGCAGAATTGCTAATGAATGTCAGCATTCTAGAAAACTCAAAATACTGACATTTACTAGTGTTTTCCCTCTGGAGAGGCAGAAACTAGTGAATGCCAGTGTTCAGAGTCTTCCAGAATAATGGTGCTTGTAGTCATTCTCTCTGGTGGGGAAGGGAGAAGGCCTGGGATTCCCGGGTGTGTTGTGAGGCTCAGGCCCACTCCGTGGTAGGTCACTATACAGTGCAGTCACTTAATTATTGCAACAGAGCGATGGGGTTGTAGTCATTGAGCAAAACAGTCACATGACATTTCAATGACCACTTCACTCAACAACTAAGTGGTTGTAAGTAGTGGGAGTAAATCTGTAAATCTGAATGAAGACATAAGGGGAACAGAAAATATATATATTTCCTTAGAATGTGATCACAAGCTAGCTCATAGCTCATCTTGGGAATCATAATGTTTTCTTTTCCTTCCTTCCTTCCTTCCTTCCTTCCTTCCTTCCTTCCTTCCTTC